ATTAAATAACACTAAACAATAGTAAATAATGACAAAATAACAATCGTTTTGGCGAAATGCTCCCACCCCACAACAATACTACTCGTTTTGGCGAAACGTCCCCACCCCACAATAACACCATCGAAATAAAAATAGCAATACCAAACCCCTACCTTAATCGTCCTCACCAGCTCCATATTATGCGCTCTCCACACCCTGATCAATCGATCAATACTGATCGATATCAAATACAAACCATCTTCCGAGAACCTAAGGCCGCCTACACAAGTGGGATGGGCGTTTTCCAGAGGGGCACTCAGGGTCTTCAGTAGACTTTTTGCACTCCTAAACCATTCATTATCATTACCACTACCACATAATCATAACAAAATAACAATAATAATCACAATACCAACAAAACAACAAAAACACCAAAAACCACACCAAACCTTATATCCCACAATGCAATTTTGCCCATTTTTCCACCACTCAATAAAAAATTCTCATTTTCTATCGACCATCGAACTGATGATACATACTCCGTTCTCCATCGCAGGTTCTGAATCGCGTCTCCAACCCTATTATTATCATTACACTACTATTACTATCAAAAACAACCTGAAATAACCTCAAAATAAACCCAAAATAACTAAAAAATAAAATAAATCACGCCCACCTCGGATCGATCAGCTCAATGTTCGAGGACATATTCGCCACAGCTATTAAGCTCCGCCTCTGCAAAGCACCGCCCCAATCGAACTGCAGCACCTCCTCTTTAAAGTCGTACTTGTCCACTACCCTCATTCTATTCGTATCCCATAACTTAATAATAATAATTATTATTATTAATGTATATTATTATAAATATTATTTATCATTATTAAAATCACAAAATCGATACCTTTATTGTCTTGTCCATACTCGAAGACAAAAAAGTACCCGTATCTTGGNTATTAATGTATATTATAATAAATATTATTTATCATTATTAAAATCACAAAATCGATACCTTTATTGTCTTGTCCATACTCGAAGACAAAAAAGTACCCGTATCTTGGGGGAACCATTGGCAACACGTTATCAAATACTTATGACTGCTGCAATTATATATTATTAATATACCAATATACATTACTATTATATATAACAATAAATAACATCAAAAAATAACCGTGGCGAAATGCCCCCACCCCACAATACAAAATATCGCTATTTTATTATATATACATACACATTATTATACACATACCTATACCTTTACTATTCAACAATAATAAAAATAATAAAAACAATAATAAAACAATAAAAGCAACAACAACACATAACAAAAATAATAAATAACTCACCTATGTGATGCAGTACTAGCTATAATCGGATGTTCCACTGCAGTCTCTTCATTGCTCAGTGAGGACAATTCTAAATCCACTATTGATAACACTCCATTACACGAGCCACATAGCAAACTGAATATATTATTTATTATTGTATACTTAAATATATTTATTATTTAATATACTTAATATTTAATATACTTAATATTTAATGTATTTATTATTTAAAATATTTAATATTCATCACAAAAAATATACTTAATATTTAATATATTTATTATTTAAAATATTTAATATTCATCACAAAAATAATAATAAGACCCACTATCGTTGTTCAACTGGGTCTATGTCCATACAAAATATTCTCGGAGCATTTCCAGGCGTAAACTTGATACGATGCCTCCAACTCATCCTGTAAATATTAATAATAATAACAATAATAATAAAAATAATAAATAATAAAAATAAATAACAAAACTAAACAATAACGACAATAATAAACATAACAAAAATAAAAAATAAGCTCTCACCTCAAGCTTTTAATACGCTTCTCAATTAGAAAACGCTTCAGATTAATCGAGAAGCATTCTCGACCCAACTGGCGTTGCAGAATGCAGTGCGGTAGCACGCTTGAAGTCTGGATATTATCTGTATTTATTTATTATTATTATTGTTATTATTTATTATTATATTTATTATTTTAAAGATTAGTAATCATTATTATCATTAGGTATAACTGACCACAGCAACGTGTGTTAGCAAATGGACGTAGTTTTCGATCGGCCATTTGCTAAAATTAATTTGGTAAACAGTTCGGACTCTGCANTATTATATTTATTATTTTAAAGATTAGTAATCATTATTATTATTATTGGGTATAACTGACCACAGCAACGTGTGTTTGCAAATGGACGTAGTTTCCGATCGGCCATTTGCTAAAATTAATTTGGTAAACAGTTCGGACTCTGCATGGAATTCACTGTATTTCTAAAAATAATAATAATAATTATTATTATAAATAATAGTAAATAATAATGATTGTAATAATAATAATAAATAGCATTGATATTATTAAATATTGACGATTACAAATAATAACAATAAATAATAATAAATAATAGCAATAATAATAATAGATAATAATAAAATAATAATAAGTAAACACAATGAATTCTGCAGTGCGCTCGATCCAAGTGAGCAGGTAACGGACTTTTCGCCACAAAAGGAAACGGTTGATTTGCCAAGAAGTTGTTTTACTGATTTACCCCCGGACAAATGGTCCCCACACAGTTTTGCGGGAAATTCAAATGGTAACTTAATTTACATGCCTATTTCCCAGCTTTTTGAGTTAAAATTTACATATTTTTCATCAAATTCATCCGAACTTTACAAACTACTCGATCAGTTTGCCCAAGGCTTGCACACTTAACACCGGAACAAGCATAATTCCCGAGGAATTTACCTGAAATTCAGCAAATTCATCAAATAGTTGCCCGAACATCGTCGAATTGTCCGTCGTCTGTTCGCGACGTTTAGACTAGAGAGAGCATCCAAAATTACACTCATAATTACAGTCACAAACTGATCAGGCCAGACTGATCTGATTTGGGTCTGCTGATCAGACACTGATCTGGACCCAAATTCAAACTGCCAATCCCAAACTCAATTAATCGATTTGTGATCGCTCTCTGATCTCCGATCGATTCCCGTCGACCCCTTCTCGGAAGCAGCAGCCATCATCATCGTTCAATTTTTCTTAAATAAATAAATGAAATTATTATTATTGATACGATAGATAGCACGAGCACTGATCACTTTTTGCCGCATTACATCAGCGCCCAATGCATCATCATTTGATCGATTGCGTCTGCATTCGAATAAATCGTTTTTTAAGCCGTAAATCGCAACAAAAAAAGAGCTGTTTGATTCGATTGCCCGAACTCGTTCTGCTCAAAAAGCCGTCATATTTATTATTGTTGTTTGGTGTCGTTATTGTAATGCTCTCAAGCGAAAAATTTATTCTTTTCCAGTGAAAAATTCTGCTCATTTTTCATGTTTTTCTGAAATTTTTCACCTTTTTTCTAGAGAGAGGAAAGGGGCGAGAAAACTCTTTCGGATAGAACTTTGTTTCATGATTTTTGACTCTGGAAACTTCTTACTTTTTACTTTTTGCAGCTGCTGATGCGTCATGACTTCTGGTTCCTTTCTTGCTTTTTAGCTGCTATTTAATTCGCTTATCATTCAGAGTCACTGATGACCTACGCCATTTCTCGAATACTTTTCTCGATTTCCCCCCCCCCC